CCCGTCCTTTTCCATAAAATTAGATGGTCACTTTATTCAACCTGGCCTTTATGAATTCCTCCTCAACATATTCTTTATTCTTCTTTTGTCTTAAGGCATACAAATACCCGAAAGAAAATTCAGCCTCAATTTATCAATGATCTTTGTTCATTTTCAGACCCAATTATTTTATGGTACAAAAAAACAAAACACACCAAAAAACAAAAAACAAAACAAACACAACCACCATCAACAACAACAACAACAACAACAACAACAACAACAACAACAACAAAGAAACACCAAAAAGATATCAAGCCTTAACTTATTCCTTAATATTTTTCTTAAAGCCCTCTTGTTTTATGGTACAAAAAACGCTTAACCAAAAAGAAATCCCGCTTAAACTTAGTCCTAAATCTTCTTATTTTTTTCTCTTTCTAGCACAGGACCGAAACCTGCTCCTCCCTTCGACATCCTAAGGATACCAGAGGAAGGAAAAACACAAAAAAACACTTACTTCTTTTATTTCAAGGCAACACAAAGCAGAGGAAGTCCAGAAACTCCGGAGAGTCATGGCGAGCACAACACTGTGGCCTCTTGTCTTCATCTCAGTCCTGTTTGTTCTTCTCATGGATGTACCGGACATTGAGGCCAGGGGAGGGGGTGGGCACGGTGGGGGAGGACATGGGGGTGGGCATAGCAGTGGTAGTGATAGCAGTGGGCATAGCAGTGGTAGTGGACATAGTATGGCCACAACAGTGGTAGTGGATATAACTATGGACACAGCAGTAGTGGCAGTGGATATAGCGACGGACACAATAGTGGCAGTGGATATAACTATGGACACAGCAGCAGTGGCAGTGGATACTACGGTAATGGACACAGCTCATCCGGGTCATCGTCTTCCTTCTCGTCTGGACCAGTCCCACACGTCAACTACAAGTTGTCCCAACCTAGTATCATCCACGTGACGTCACGGCTGCCTCGGACAACGCCACTGGGACGAAGGATGACGTCTGCCGAGAGGTTCCTTGTTCTGACGACTGCGAGCTGGCTCATCACCAGACGCCTAAGGCGTACCAGCGACTACTTGGGTTATCGGTAAGAGGGGGAAAACATCTTAGTCCCTTTTTTTTTTTTTTTGGAAATGAGAAAAAGCCACCCCAAAAAAATTTAATTAACAACAACAACAAAATATATATA